GTAGGTGCTTAGAGACCCTATGCTGGTGCAAAGTTTCTCCATCTTGTTTGCCCAACTTTGACCTTTCTCAGCGACGTGCTTCTTTGTGGGATCATTTGTGCTGGGTGACATTATAAAATCACAGCTTGAACACATTTGAAAAAATGGCTCTCACTTGATGTACCGGGAACACAGTATGAAAGTTAACAATATTGTTTCTAGTAATATATTTTTTTCAGTTCATTCGTACATTGTTCTTCCATTGCTAGTTCCTTATTTTAAAAACATTTTACTCGCTTTATCTTCGGAAACAAAAGGTTGAAGACTTTGCTGTAGCACTTGTTAAATTAATTTTTCTTTGGAAAGAAAAGATTCATATCATGATTTCTAAAACCTGAGCAAAAGAGACGAACAGACATCTTACCAAATACAGATTTGATATGTAACAACCTGTGAAAAGGTATTCAATTGCACTCATGATAAGAACAATGCAGATTAAAGCACACAAACAATTGTTTTTTACCATCGCGGAAGCTCAGCACTTGGTTGGCATGCCTACGAGAAGCCAGGCGCCCCTCACACCTCCGGAGTGGGAATGTGAGGAGGTACTAATGTTATGGATCGGATTATTCTCCCCAAGCATGTGTTGAAAGGGCTTTCTTTTGTAAGCGAGCAGGATTACATGGAGGGGAAGAGACTAGCCACGTGTTTGCCAAGGAATCTGGGAGTAGAAGCTGAGAAGAGACAACAGTGTTTCCACAGAGCCGAGAGGGCGAGAAGCTTTCTTTGCCTAGTGCCGGTCTCTGGATTTGAACTTCCAACCTCCTCAAGTGGGAGAAAATGAGTTTCTCTTAGTCAAAGCCATCTTCCATCATAGCAGTACTAGATCATCCAGACAACTAACATCATGAGAATTTGGTAAAATCTAACAACACCCTGTGTGCATTTACTCAGGCCTAGTTCTAGGAAGTGACCACGATGAGGTAGCTGCATAAACATGGAGTGACATGGGTTCCTAGTTTCCCACTGTAATGTTTGTAAAACACAGTACTGGAAGTCACCTACAATGTCTGCTCATAGGAGACGGATCGAATGAACATTTATACTAAAAAGAATAAGGATAAATGATACCACTGGGCCAAATTGAAATGACTGCCCAATACAAAACGGATAGGCGATATAGTTCCTTTTTAGAAGGAAAAAGGGGCAGCTTTTACATATGCAGATTTTTGTTTTTAAAGAAACGTGGGGAGAATGAAACCAGAGACCAGTGGAAATAATCATCCGTAAGGGCAGGGTGAGAACAGGGTGAAGGTGTAGGGATGGGAGGGAGACTTCTCCCAGGACACTTTAAAAGTACATTGTAACTTGATCCTATTCAATAAAAGAGGCGAAATATTTCAAGCAGGAGAAGAATACAATTAGATTAGGCTTAGAAAGGGTATTCTAATACATTGTGGAAACTGGATGAGGGAGATGGACAAATTGGAGACAAAAAGACTAGTTTAAGGGTCTTTACAATAATGTTGACTAATATTGAAGGAAAACAGGAAGCATCAAAAAAGATAGAAGGGATACACGTAGTTGTTGAATTAAAAAAGATTTGGTCCCTGTTCAGCCGTTTCGGGAGGTAGCACATGATCAAGCACTGATAGTACTGAAGGAGGAAGTGCAGGCCACCTTGGTGGCATTGGCCATGTAAACGCAGGGGTCCAGGCTTGATGGGAAACCAATTCAGATGTTTTAACCAAAGGATGTGGTGCTGGAGGCTTGCACTTTGTGTACCAAGATATTTGGAAGACAGCTACCTGGTCACCTGCCTGGAAGATATCCACATTTCTGCCCTTGCCAATGAAAGGTGATCCAACCAAATATGAAACCATATCATTAATATTACAAATGATATCATCAATATAATCAATAATACACAAGTTAAAAAAATTGCTAAAGATAATTTTAAAATGGTTATTGAAATCAGTACATCGACAGGGAACTTCCAGAAATTCAAGCCAAATTCAGAAGAGGATATGAAATTAGGACTCTCATTGCTGAATGTCAGATAAATCTTGGCTGAAAGCAGAGAATACCTGAAAGAATTGCATTGTGTTTTAATGACTATGCAAAGGCTTTTAACTGTATGACTCATAGCAAATTATGGATAACATTTTGAAGACTGAGAATTCCAGAACACTCGATTGTGCTCCTGAGAAACCTGTCCACAGTCCAAGAAGAAGTCATTCCAGCAGACCAACGGCAAACTCTGTGGTTTACGATCAGGCAAGCTGTGTGCCAGAGCTGTTTCCTTGTACCGTACTGATTCAATCTGCATGCTGAGCAAATAGCCCAAGCAAGTGGATTGTATGAAGAACCCAGCATCCGGGTGGGAGAAAGGCTCATTAACAGCCTGCAATATGCAGATGGCTCATTTTTACTTGTGGAAAGTGAAGAGGATTCGAAGAGCTTATTAATGAAAATCAAGGACTTAAGCTTTTAGTATGGATTACATCTCAATGAAAAGCAAGGCAAATATCCTTATGATTGGGCCAATAGGTAGCATCACAATAAATGGAGAAAACATGGAAGCAGTCAATGATTTCAGTTTGGATCCACAATCAACACCCAGGGAAGGAACAGCCAAGGAATCATATGATGCAGTGCACGAGGCAAATCTGCTGCAAAAGGCCGGCCTCTTTTACATGCAAAGATGTCAGCTTGAGGGACACCTGGCGCGACCCATGACATTTTTGATCATGTGGTGTACATGGGAGAGCTGAATACGTAAGAAGAAAGGCAGAAGGAGAATTGAGGCATTTGGGTGGTGGCGTGGGCGAAGATTGTGGAAGTACCATGGACAACCAGAAGAATGAGCAGAATCATGAACATCTTGGAAGACCAATCAGAGTGCTCTTTAAAGACCACGATGGAGAGACTTTGTCTCCTATGCTATGGACATGTTACCAGGAGGGACCCAGTCCCTGGGGAGGAATGTCATACCGGCAAAAGTAGAGAGCATCGGTAAAAATGTGGGGGACCCTAATGAGATGGATTCACACAGGCTCAAGCATAGCGACTGTGAGGGTGGCCCGGGGCCAGTCGAGGTATGTGGGGTCTCTAGTCTTTCATTGTCCTTGAGTTGTTCGACAGCTGTCAATTGTAAATGATGTCAACGCAAAGGCATTTCGTCTATAGAGAAACATGGGATGCTTTCAGCAGTAGAGGTTCAGTGTTACCGCTTCCCCACTCGCAGCACCCCCCCCCCTGTGGAAAATGAGTGTTGCCTTCATTTGCACACTCACTTAAAAATTCTGGTCATAATATGTCTGCTCTTCTGATTGTCTTTTGAACTGGTTCTCTCAAAGATTAATGAGAGGAATAGAATGATTAATGAGTAGAATTTAAATCTGGAACCTGTGAGTATTTTTATCTCAGTCTGGGAGTCATGATTTTTCTTAACATTCCCTTAGTAGTTACCTTTTTCTGAAAATTACCTTTAGTGATTGTTATGTATGCTTGTTTATTTTTCATATAATGATAGCACATAATTTGTAATGAGAAACTTGATAGGTTCCTCGTTTTGATTTACATGCTGAAGTCGTGTACATAGAGCTTTCCATGCCTGTTTTTCTTAGCCTGTGTGGCTTTTTGTTTTTGCTTGCTTTAACAAAGGAAATTAAAATTGATTCTAGAGTCCAGCGTTGGCAGATTCACTGACCTTTAATACAGAATCTATTCCTGTAAGACTGCAGAAAGCAAATGCCAAATGTAAATGCTTTACACTCCCCTCCCTCTGTTTCTCTGAATAACTGAATCATTACAAAAAATACCAAACAAACTCTCGACACTTGAAAGTTAGTATTGGTATTCTTCAGTATATTGTTCTCAAAAACCCAGACTTGCTGCCACGAGTCGATTCAGACTCAGAGCAACCTGATAGGATGCAGTAGAACTGCTCCCGTGAATTTGTAAGAGTAAAAAGCCTCATCTTTCTCTTGTGGGGCTGCTGGTGATTTCGAACTGTTGATTTTGTGGTTAGCAGCACGTAACCCACTGCGCCTCCAGGGTTCTCATTGTTGTCAAGTCACTTCCGATCTTGGCGACCCTGCGTACAATGGAAGGGACACAGCCTGGTCCTGCGCCATCCTCACCATTGTTGTGTTAGCGCCCATTGTTGCAGCCACGGTGTCGGCCGTTTCCTCTAGTGCTTTCCTGCTTTCCACTGACCCCGACTTCACCAAATCCTGGGTCTGGTCCATCCTGGGAAGGTGCTCAAAAGACGTGAGATGAAATACTGCCATCCTTGCTTCTAACGAGCATTCTGTATTTCTTCCGAGCTAGATTGCTCTCTGGAAAAACAAAAGAAAATAGAACTGTTTGGCCAAGAAAATCAGATTCTTCCTTAACAGTTTCACCCTAACTTTTAAGAAACATCATAGAGATTTCCAGACTAAACATAAAATGAAATTGCCTGCCCACATTCCCCATCTTTTATGGTGTGAGCTAGTAGTCAACTAATAGTGAATGTTTGTGACTTTCGATTCCATCAGTACCACACTCTGCCAAGAGCTGTGGTAATGTTGGGGGAGATTTCCTAACTGTTATGGTGGCATTGTGCAGACCAGTGGGCATTGGCCAGGGATGGGCTTTTGAAAAACCCAGTAACTTCTTTTGAGTTCCTGTTTTGAACGATAGTCATAGGAAAGGGCATCGTAATGAAAACAGAAAGAAGGAAGGAAGGAAGGAAGGAAGGAAGGAAGGAAGGAAGGAAGAAAGAAAGAAAAGAAAGAGGTCTGTAACAGGTCAGCAGTTTGAAACCACCAGCCACTCCGAGGGAGAAAGACAGGCTCTCTCCTTCCCTGCAGAGGGAGGTCCTCGGAAGCCCTGGGGCAGCGCCACCTGCCGGGGTTGCCGGGAGTCAGCACGCCCTCAGCAGAAGTGCCTCAGTCCCACAGTTCCCTCGGTTGGGGTGAGTGGAAGGGAATTATAGCCTGCGTAACTTTTACTGTTTTCAGATCTGTTTTTGT